CATGGAGGAAACTCTTGGCTGAAGACAATTTGTTACATTTACACTTGCTCATATTTTCCAGACAAAAAGTTAATGGCGCATCTCCCAAATGTCCCGGCAGCAACAACGCTTTTATTGGTTCCGCTATCGGGACGGAACCAATAATGGAGAGTTGTTATTTATTTTTTTATAAAAAAAATATCAAATTTTAATGTTTTATTTAGATTACAAAAATAAATCATAATCCAAATAATCCTATTTATTATGTTTTAAAAATTAAGACCTACAAAAGACTGATTTAAGACATTTTAATACCAATTAAGGCCTTAGTTTTATTTTAAAGAATTCAATGCCATTTAAGACTTTTTAAGGAACCGCAGGAACCCTGCTCTGAGCGTGTGTGGGTTCTCTCCGGGTACTCCAGCCTCCTCCCACGGTCCAAAAACATGACTGTTATGTTAATTGGCTTCTCCAAATTCTCCTTAGGTGTGAGTGAATGGTTGTCTTTGTTGCGCTGCAATAGACTGGCGACCTGTTTAGACCTGTTTAGACAACCGTAGACAGCTGGAGATCACCAGCACCCCTCATGACCCCACTTGGGATAAGCGTGAAGATGGATGGATGGATGGTGCTGATAGTAGGTTCCGGGGAAAATAATGAAGCTTGTTCTGTTATTTTTGCACCCAAATAACAAGTTTGTACGGAGCCCCTAAAGGGACATGGAGGGGGGAAAAAAGAACTTTAGCAAGATCTCGCAAAAGTTTACTTTTTGAAAGATCTCGCAAAAGTTTATTTTTTCCCTCCATGTCCTTTTAGGGGCTCCATAGCATTGCATACTGACCTTGTCTCTCTTTATTCATGTAATTTCGTGTTTTGGAACTTCTCTAGAAATTAAGAACCACTCCAAATCATCCTCCATGGTTGTATCTGACACATGGGCGTATAATCATCCCATAGAGGTAAACTTTGCACCTCCACTGTTGTGTTTCTGTTTTACTTCCGGTTAGCTGACATGGCAAAACGTTTTGCGAGATATCGCAAAAGTATTGTGGGATCTCGCAAAAGTTTATTTTTTCACTCCATGTCCCTTTAGGGGCTTCGTATGTTTTGTAAATAGAAATGAAAATAAAATATAATCCGGAACTTTGGAAAACACTTCTTAATCAAAACAGGTTAACTATGCTTTTTATCTGGGATAATTTTTCATTACCTATTTAATATTTCATTTTTTCAAACTTTACATGTATTTATTTTATTTTTTTTCAGATTTCTTTTTGAGCCTGGATTTTACAAATCACCTTATCTTCAAATTGTGTTTTTTACCCTCAACGCATTTCTTGATTAAGATATTTCTCAATGTTTCGTTACTGGATTGAGATCGAGCAGAAGTGTGCTGCAGTACTGTGTTTTGGCCACAGGTGGCAGCATCATTAGAAAACTGCCTCTTTAAACTTGTTAGTTACAGCTCTAGCACCCCTAGTGGGTGAAAGTTAACAAGTGTCCGTTTAAACTGCTTTCTGTGGCCTTATCTTGTACAAATACACATTAAAGAAGCAATTTCTTCTAATAAAATCTGTTCAACATCCCTGTCTGATGAAACAGAACTACTTTTCAGTGCATTAAAGACAAAAAAACATTCCTGTGGTGAATAAGACTAAATAATCTAAAACATGTACATTTAAAATTCCTGAAGATGATTAAACTGATTTGTTTTATTCAAGCTGCATCAGTGAGGAGATTATATTTAACTCACCACTGTCGTCTCCTCCCAGGTCCCAGAGCTGCAGGTCAGAGCTCTGCCCGTCGTTGGTCACCATGCACCTGATGGAGCATCAGGGTTTTTTAAATCATGGGGTCATCTACAGAACTCCTCTGGAGTAAAGAGGAAAACTTCAAAGCAAAGCGGTTCTGGCTCTTCAAATTGTTTTTTCTTTCTATCTTTAGGATGTTTAAAACTTAAAAATTTACAGCTGCATGGCTGGATTTAGATTTTCACAAATTTATTCAGATCAGCTCATATAAGTGAGATGCTAACGTAAGGCAAGGCAAGGCAGCTTTATTTGTATAGCACATTTCAGCAACAGGGCAATTCAAAGTGCTTTATATAAAATCAGTTAAAAAAATAAATAAGCATAGCAGAAACAGAACACACAAGAAACACAAGAATAAAAATGACAGTGCAGTATAAAAGATTAAACAGAAAAGAAATGAACGCCATTTAGAGAAAGGCAACATCAAAAAGAAAGGTCTTCAGCACTGATTTAAAAGAACTGAGAGTAACAGCGGACCTGCAGGTTTCTGGGAGTTTATTCCAGATGTGAGGACCATAGAAACTGAAAGCTGCTTCCCCCTGTTTAGTTCTGACCCTAGGAACAGAAAGTAGACCTGTCCAAGATGACCTTAGAGGTCTGGGGGGGGTCATAGTGTACTAGCAGGTCAGAAATGTAAACCGTTTAGTGATTTATAAACTAGCAAAAGTACTTTGAAATCAATTCTTTGAGACACAGGAAGCCAATGTAAGGACTTCAGAACTGGAGTGATGTGATCTAGTCTCTTGGTCTTAGTGAGGACTCGAGCAGCAGCGTTCTGAATCAGCTGTAGTTGTCTGATTGATTTTTTTGGGAGACCTGTAAAGACCCCGTTACAGTAGTCAAATCTACTGAAGATGAAAGCATGGACAAGTTTTTCCAAGTCCTGTTGA